CTCCGCTTGTCCAGGTAGGGCTGTAGCTGGTATAATTTCCACAGCTGAAGGAAGGCACCCCTGGCCACTGAGTCCACCTGGGCTTCCAGAGTTAGACTGGGGTCCAGGAGCACCCCCAGGCTGCGGACCCTGTCCCTTAGGGAGAGTGTAACTCCATTCAGGGCACGGAAATGGCCCTTCAGCCTGTCTGGTGAAGCAGCCACTAACAGCACTTCCGTCTTGTCCGGATTGAGTTTCAATTTATTAACCCTCATCCAGTCCATTATCAGGTCCAGACACGAGTTCAGCACAGAAACCGCGTCACCTGGATTGGTGGAAAACGAGAGGTAGAGCTGAGTGTTGTCAGCATATTGCTGACTCCTCAGCCCAAACCTCCTGATGACCTCTCTCAGCAGTTCCATGTAGATGTTAAACAGCTTGGGTGACAGTATCGAGCCTTGAGGAACTCCATGACATAAATGCCATGGGACAGAAAAACTGTCTCTCAGCACCGCCTTCTGGACACAGTCAGCCAGGAAGGAGCAGAACCACCGTAAAGCGGAACCCCTCAACTCCCAACCCAGCCAGCCTATCCAGAAGGACACCATGGTAGATGGTGTCGAAAGCCGCTGAGAGGTTCAGGAGTATCAACAGGGTCACACTCCCCGTCTATATCCTGGCAAAGGTCATTGTACCAAGGCATTGTACCAAGGCAATCTCTGTACCAAAACCCAGCCTGAAACCCAATTGAAATGGATCCAGAAAATCTGTTCCATCCAGCAGCGCCTGGAGTTGCCCGGCCACAAGCCACTCAGAGAGGTTCGCCACTGGTTGGTAAATTAACCACCAGCCTTGGGTGCAGGTTAGACTTTTTTAGGAGTGGCCAAATTACCACCTCTTTCAAGGTGGTAGGGACCACTCCCTCTCTCAAAGAGGCATTCACAGCCTCCTGGACCCAGGTGCAAACCCCACTAGCAGATCTTCCAGTTAACCAAGATGGGCAAGGATTGAGTGGAGTGGTGATAGAATGGACAGATCCAAGCACTCTGTCCACATCCTCAGGTCTCAACAACTGAAACTCATCCATTAATACTTGATTTAAGCACTGCACACTGGACACATCCTCTGATTCTGCAGTAATGGTGGAGTCCAACCCACTGTGAATCTGAGCGATTTCCCCCTCAAAATGAATGGCAAACTCATCACAGCAAGCTGATGAGCAGTCCGGCACCTCCACCGGATTTCCCGGTTGAAGAAGATCCTGGACCACCTGAAACAACTCTGCTGGGCGACATTCTGATGAAGCAATACGGCTGGAGAAATATTGCCGTTTCGCCAGCCATATTGCCACAAAATAGGCCTGATAATGGGCTCTAAGTCGCATTCCCCCAATGTCCCATTTGTTTTCCCTCAAACACAGGTCCACCTTCGGACACAATTTACTATTTCCTCCCTTTACACACTGCCACCAGTGGATCTTTACACACTGGTGGCAGTGTGTAAAATTTATTTATTGTTTGATTGGTAAATCACAGAAGTAAAGTCACAGATGTTCTTTTATTGTTCAAAATAAACCCTTCAAAACCCTTCTCTAACTCTCCTCAGTCTCCAACTGTTCACTTGACTCGGTCCCCTAGAGCTCCATATGACAGACAGGTGTGAATTGGGCATTCCGCCACATACCTCCCCCCTTGGAAAGTTTGTTTCATGGGGTAAAACTTACAGCAGTTTACCCTCATGAACAATGTATGAGTCAACAATATTTACAACATCTTTTCCAATGCAATTCTCAGTTATATATTTGCAATATATACTCACTCTTTTACAGTTTAAAGCATATTAATCTTATTACTTTACAGTTAAATGACATTAATCAACATTTTTATTACTTGCAAAACAATCATTTTATCCTTATTTACCATTAATTCATCTATAAATTCCATTTTTATTTATTTTATATATATATAAACACTGAGAACATTTTCTATAACATTAAAAGTTACATATTTTGTTGTTTCCATTGGTCATTCTTCCAGTCTTCTTGACAAGGCATCGGCCAACACATTTTGATTCCCCTTCACACTCCGGATCTCAAAATCAAAGTCTTGTAAGAGTAGGGCCCACCTCATTAGTCTCTTGCCAGTCTGCAGTTTCTTACTCAGAAACATCACCGGATGAAGGTCTCCATTGTCATCCACCTGGCTCAGCACGGCTCCTAGTCTGGTGTTAGACACATCTGTGAAGATGGTGAACTCTCATTGGAAATCTGGCGCTCCTAGGACAGGACCGGTCATCAATGCAGTCTTCAACTTTTCGAAGGCCTCCTCGCATTCTCTCGACCACAGACTCTTTTCAGTTTTTCTTTTATGTGTTAAGTCAGATAAAGGGTCAGCTATTTCGCTGAAATTCTGGATAAAGTGTCTATAATAGCCAACTAACCCCAAGAAAGATCTGACTTTTTTCTTTGTTGTCGGTCTAGGCCAGTTACTGATTACTTCAATCTTTGATTCTAGGGTTTTAATTATGCCTCCCCCTACCATATGGCCTAAGTATTTTAATTCTGAGTTACCCAGTTGACATTTATTGGCCTTTACTGTTAACCCGGTCTCATTACGCCTCTGTAGCACTTTCTCAATATGGCCCAGGTGATCTTCCTTTCTATAGTAAGGATTGATCGTGTTTACATGGACCACTTTTTGACCTGCGTCTCCCTCCTCCTGAATTATGTAATTTACTTCACTCATCTTGGAGATTACTTTAAAAGGACCTGCCCAATTTAACTGCAGTTTATTCCCTTTAATAGGTTTCAGCATCAGGATTTTATCTCCTGGACTTAATGATCTTTCTCTGACCTTTTTATCATACCAGAGTTTTTGTTTCTCTTGCTGACTCTGCAAGTTTTCTGCTGCTAACTTCAGAGATTGCTGCAAGGAGTTCATTAAGTTATCTATATACTAGATCACTGTCTCAGGATCTTCTCCCTTTTGTTCCTCCCAATTTTGTCAGAGTAAATCAAGGGGTCCCCACACTTTCCGCCCAAATAACAGTTCAAAAAGACTGAAACCAGTGCTTTCCCAGGGCACAGACCTATACACATATAATAAGGGTTGTAATTTGTGATCCCAGTCATTGGGTTTTTCTGCAATGTAAGCTCTGATCATTTGCATTCTCCACTAATCAAGTAGTCTGGGGATGATATGGGGCTGATGTAATATGAGTTATGCCACAAAGTTGCCACAGCCTTTTCATTAATCTGGATGTGAATGATGTTCCCAAATTAGTAGAACCGAAGCCCAT